TGAACAGTTTTGGCCCTAAAGGAAAAACTCTTCGTTCTTATTTTAAATTAATTTCGTATTTATAGATTTAAACACCTACACACACGAACTAACATTTGGAAATACTTAATGGCTTATTTATACAACTAAATTTTCGTTCGCTCGAAATTACGTATTTTCCTCGGTAAAAAAAAAATGCATTCAAGATTTAAATAAAATTAAATATTCAAAAATAATCGTACTTCATTGATTGATTTGACAATACACTTAATATTAGATTTTTATCAGTCAAATTTTAAGAAAAAAGTTCGATGACGATTGACCCAAAAATATGATGACGTTACATTTCTGATTGCAATACCAAATTAATAGAACAGTTTCGTTTTCGATATTTCAATAAAAGTATTGAATTTGACTTGTTGTCAAATACCGTATTGCAATTATTAAGATTCTTAGAAATTCCTAAGAATGATATTTTCAATTATTTTCGTAATAAGAAAAAAATCTGCCGGGGTTGCGGGGTAAGCGCAATGAGGCACCGCGACCTCGGCACAGAGCAGGAGAAGGAACAGGGGGGTTTTTAGTCAGTAAGAGTCTGACACTCCCTCCTGCCCGGCCATGGGCGGGAGAAGTCAATTGATGATTTTCCACTCACAAAAAAAAAAATAAGAAAAAATAGACATATATGTCCTATATTATCTGTTCTCTCCTCAAATCGCTGTCAGCTGGGTCATCTATTTATTTGCGAAACCCACAAGGAACTTATTTAACTTAATTATTATACTACAAAGGCTGTATGCGATAAATCATAGGCCTATAGTGGTAGTTATAATTAGTTTCGTCTCCCGTGGCGATAGTTGAACCATAGGCGGCCACCAAGCAGAAGGATCACAATAGGTTCACTTTTAAACATAATTTTATGGGAATTTGTATCATACAATCCTACTATCCTAATAATCCCAACTAATATTATAAATTTTCGTGAGAAATTCTAAATTAATTATTATGTTTTACTCACGTAATAATTTGACGAGATACTCGACTAGTTTCAAGCCATGCTAGAGGCCCATATTCGGCTTCGGCCCTCATGGCTTGAAACTAGTCGAGCATCAAGTCAAATTATTACGTGAGTAAGCCGAAAACATAATAATTATTATTATAAATGCGAAAGTAACTCTGCCTGTCTGTGTGTCTTTTCTAACGATTTCTTTTAAATTTGGTACAGACATAGTTTGGAATTCGAGAAAGGACATAGGATAGTTTAAACCAAAAATCTGCAGGAAGTCCCTATTCCACGCGAAAAAAGTCGCGGGCAAAAGCTAGTATTATAAATATGTAAGGTTGTGAGAATTTATGGATGTGATGTGTTGTTTTTTATCCTTTTAATCTGAGCCTTTTAAGCAAAAACGGCTCGACCAATTTGATTGAAGTTTGGTATATAGATAGGTGAAATCCTGGATTAACACATCGGCTGTTTTTATCCAAGCTAGCAAAGAATATTTAAAAGACGAAATGATAAACATTACTAAAATTCTTCGGCTTGGAATGTGGTGGTTTTTGTTAGTATGAGTCTGGCACTTCCGCTCGTGTGTCACTCAGACGAATAGTCATTTTTAGATTTATTCCTGATTTTTTAATAGTCAGACAAATGTCTTATACAAACATTCTGACGCGACAGCATCACAATTATTATTCCCCAGGTAACTTTTATATAACCATTGAAAAATCAGCTCTAAAAGAAAAAAAGAATCTTCATCGCGACTGGTTTTTAAATACGTACCGTAATATTATGACCAATATCCACAAATGTTACGCTAACGAAAATGAAATCAATAGTGGTTTAATTTCTAAGGTCAGAGTATAGTATGCATAATAGGTATATTATAAGAAAAAACCTCTGTGAAAAAATAACTTCTGTGGCATAAATCCTTCTGACATAAACTTCTGCATCTATATTTTTTATTTAAATTAATGTACCCTGAAGAAGAGATTCGAAATAACTTTTTCTTCAAAACTTTTAACGACTGGACCTTCTTTCTAAAGTCTGTCAAGTGGCACAGGCGCCGTAGGCGTTACCAAGGGCAGACTACCTGACCCAATGGGGTCAAAAACAAAAAAATATAATAATTAACAAATATTTGCTAAACGATTCCGCCGACCGCCTTAAAATTTCGAAAATAAATTAGGTATCATGTTGTTTATAATTCATCATGATATGGACCTCTTTTGTCTTTTCGTTGGTAGTTATTAGGCAGAAAGATAAAAAGTTATTGCTTTGTTATCGTTTAAAAAAAGATATATTTTAAGGTACATAATATAAAATAAGTACTTCATTTACACTCATTACTTCTATTGATAATTGAGTAAAAAAATTCGAGTAAAAATTAATATGACAATGTTTTTACTATAATTATACCAAATTCCAAAGCCTAAGTTTCCTAAACAAGCACATTACATACCATTTTAATTATTATTTAATTATCCTACATAATATTCCGTGAAAAGATTTTTTTTTTTTATGTAATAGGACGGCAAACGAGCAGACGGATTACCTGATGGTAAGCAATCAGCGTCGCCCATGGACACCCACAACAAAGAAGGAGTGCGTTGCCGACCTTTAAGGGATTGGGATTTTGGGGATTTAGGGATTGGGAAGGTATTGGGCCTCCGGTAACCTCACTCACACGGCGAAACACAACGTTGTCCGTTATTCAAAATAACGGGCAGCTGCCCTAGCTACTACCCAGCTACAGACTGTGTCATAGAATAATTTTAAATAAAGAGTTGCTATTATAATTATATTTTAACCTGTCGTTTATTCTGTTAAGTAAAAAAAGTAACAACAGTAAGGAGTAATAATATTAATTAAGACATTAATTGCATTTATTGATAAAATTCTTACAAGGTATTATTATTTGCCCTAATGAATGAATTCAATGTTCCATCTATTTTGTTCAGTCATTCATTCATTATGCACTCACTCAAAGTCAAAGTCAAATAATCATTTATTTACAATAAGACACTTTTGAACATCAATCTAAATTAATAGTCAGTCTATCGGTCAGACCTCTAGTGAAGCTATTTGTTTGTTCCAAAGTGTAGATTCCTATGGAAAACAGTCAGGATGTTATCTAGCACAGAATATTATATGTGGCTTTAAAAATAACTCTAGTTTTAACCTTGCCTTATTATATATCTATTTTTTGTTGTTTAGTTACAGTTACCATCCAAATAAACGATTACCACCAATTTTCTAGATAGAATATTATGAAAGTTTATATTGAGAAGTTATGTATAATCTTTAACAATTTGCTAAGACAAAGACAATAGAAAAATCCTAGTGTAGTAAGAAAACTTTAATTTTATTTAAGAAAAACTGTTTTAATTTACCAATTGGTAATTTCTTTTTGCTAAAATTATATTTATTTACCTTATTAAACGACTATAAAATTGCATTATCATATTTGGATCATAATAATTAGTTTTATCTTTGATATATCTAAGATGAGCAGTTCAGATTGCTAGCCTTTAACTACCTACATAAATGATAAAGTTTTTATTTTGATTCTATGATATTTTTTATCAATCTACTGAATATATAACTGTTAAAAATAACAGCCATAGATTAAGTATTGATAGTTTGCAATTTATTTTTACGTTTTTCTAATAAGAAATCTACAGAAACTAAACGTTATATTTTAAAACAACACAAAAACTTAAGGTATATCTAGAATTTAATTAATTAAAAAACAAAGGATATATAAACTAAACAATCGGCATTCTGAATTCAAAACGAGCCATAAAAACACGCGTCTCCGTTCATAATAACATCAAACGAAGCAAAGGCATTCTCGGAACGTCCGCACACTGTCAACATCAAAGCGTGTCGGCTTCCACAGAAACGTGCAACAAATTATGTATTCTAACAAATTCCCATTAATATCTGCACGGAATGACCGTAAGGACCTATAAATAGCTCACCAAAGGGCTCAAAGGATGCGACTTACCGGATAGGAAGAGCATAACCACCAGGATCAGATGCATCACGCACATTTTATCGCACTTTATCACATAAATTTGCAACACTTGCTAGTAAAATTCGTTTTTTAACTTGCACACGTACATTTTTTGTTTAAATTATGTTAAGAAGGCATGTTTGGTTGTAGGAATATGGATGTAAACAATATACAGGGACCACAACCGGCCGGGCGGCGCCGTCGAATACGATGAACAAAGTTGGGCAAACGAACTCGGCGGCCGGAGCTTCAAAGCCGCTTTCACAGACAGCACACAATATTACGGTAGCGGTTCATGGACGCACACTAATGCAATTTAGGGATTCCAGACAGCGGCTAACTTCATTGCATATTTGACAGTTCATTCACACCGTCTTGATCGGAAATCTCTTTTTAATTACTTATGGATAATAGTTATTACCTTAGATTAAAAATGCTTCTTTACTACGTGATTTTAAACGTATTACGTGATTTTTAATATTTGCGTAATTTGTAAGTTTATTAAAACCTAATTGTAGTTTTGCTAGTACTCAATAGATGGCATAAGGAATTTTGCTTTTGCTATTTGATAAGAGATGGCGGTAAAACGCAAAACGTATATTTCCTAGTGGCTATGTTAGTATTTCATTTTAAGTAATAAAATATTTTACTATATTATAAATTATACATATCCATCGTGCTTTTAATAAAAACCACATGTAAAAAGCTGAAATGTGCTTAGTCAGTATTATATCCAATATGGTCTCCTCAGTCTACCCTCTGGAGATTAAATGGTGTGAAGATTAAAATGATTGGTCTCTTATTAAAATGATTTTATTTAATTAAAAAAGTTTTAATCTTCTCGCCAAGCAATAAATACTACATTAAAATTTTATTGACACAAATCTAATTATAGATAGAGAACAAGCATGGTTTCTGTTGCCAACACTCAACAGTATTAGCTCAATTTAGAGTTCAGACCCGATCTTGTATAAAAGAATAGAGTTAAAAAAACCACAAACAATAAATTTATACATTCTTTTTATTGCTAAAATGATGCTTTGCAAATGTTTGGCCGACAATCAGTGGAAACACTAAAGTTGCATCAGCATACAGCTTAACCGGAGTTGCATTCGGTCTGATCTTGCCCCAGGACACTGCTTCATCAGGTCTTGCACCTGCATCGCTTCCATCAAACTCGCTGGCTGTATTTATGTATACTGCGAAGTCAGCTCCGTTCCTCATAAGATTAGCATTACAGATGTGGTGTTTGATCACACCACCTCCTAAAATTATCATACCCGTATTGTTGGCTTTTACTGCCATTGTATTCAGCCTCCTTAAGTCGCTTAAGATATCTATGATAAGTCCTGGCCGCTTGTAAGAATGAAAGTACATCATATCACCTAGCGATCCATCAGTCAGTGCAGGACTGAAAACTGGAATATTGTTCCTCCAAGCCCAGTAGCATACTGAGCTCTCATCATTAATTTTCTCACCTAATCTAGCTATAATTCTGGAAGGAGTCCACACAGTTCCGTTTTGCATTTGTTCATCTAGCATCTCATCAAGGATCGGAGTTACCCACTCCTCAAATCGGCAATAGTTATCATTTGGTACTAATAAGTTTCCGATCCTGTTTATGCCGCGAGTCCTCAACATTTTCCCGCTTAAATTGAAGTCTCCAACATATGTGGGAGCGAGACATTTGATGAAATCTTCTTCCACACCTCCAGCAGTTGTCACAATACAGTCAACAAGCTTGTTTTTGACCAAAAACCGCAATGTATCACGTAAGCCCGAAGAAATCATGTTCGAAGTATATCCCAGAAATATAGTGCAGTTAGTTTTCTTCTTAATAAACACATCTTCTTCGTAAGGGTCACTTGTTTCTTCAGTCAAGGGAACAGACCGACATTTTAACATTTTATTGATTTCTTGGACCGCATTGCCGAAGTTGGTGGCTTGGAATCCTGAACGGGTGTAGCTCTCGAGTATTTTGTTGAAATCTGTGCCATTTTCCCAGTCGTAGCCTGACACGATGGGAGTTTCTGCAGGGAGCTCTTGACTTGGAAGTAAAACCGCATTTACGGCGACATTAGGTGCTAGGTTGACCGGCTTACTGGCAGCTGAAGTTATATCCATTCTTATTAATTGTATATTTCAATTAAAATATCATTATACAAAACTCTAATAACAAGAATACGGATATTTTCTGCAGTGTTTTTGCGACTAATTGAATTGAATTGTCAAATCCAATTCGCTTCTCATGGTTTTCAATGTCAATGTCAATGTCAGATGTGGATAGCTGTCAAGTGAATACGTTTTGTTTTACGCAGATAACTGAAGGTAAAAGTTATAAATTGTTGTTGATAGGAATACAGTAATTAAAATCTATGAATTGGAATGATTGAAATATTCGCAATAAACTCAAAATTATTGAATGAAAATAAGGTTTATAGTGAGTTTTTAGAAAATGTGGGTGGTAAGAGGTAATTATTAAATAAATGTGTGCGAAGTCGTGGTAAGTAGGTACTTAGTATGAAGTTGATGACAAAAATTATTTACCATCGTATCAACTCCAAGACATTCAGTATTGCATTCAGATCCTAATACACTTATTTACCTATCCCCACCTACACTCTAGATCAAATTACACTATAAACATGAACAGATGAAATTATATTAAACGCAAAAACGCAAACGATATTGTAAGTGCAAAGTAACTTTTTTATAGCATTTAAAGAAGAATTTTTGTCGCCGTTTGCGGGGCAAGCGCATGAAGGCTCTTCGGCTCTGTCCTAGAGCAGGAGAAGAAACGGGGGTTTTTAGTCGTGAAGCCAGCCATGCTACTTTTGTTCCGATGTCAGACCACGTCGGGTGCAAATGTTTTACGCCTCACCGTTTTTTTTTGTGAGGGGAAAATCATCAAATGACTTCTCTTTCTCTTCTTCTTCTCTCTCTCTCTCGGGAAGGAGTGTCTGACTCTTACTGACTAAAAAACACCCCGTTCCTTCTCCTGGGGTCGAGGTCGCGGTGCTCTATAGGGTATAACAGCTTTACATATAGGGCCTGTCTGTGGTGGTCTATTGACTTTTTTGAAGCGCGTGCGGAACGCTACGCGCCTTACGCTCGGGTCTGGTTCTCAGTGCCGGCGTAAAGGCCACTGAAACCCCGGGCGAAACTATATTGGAAACTATATTCAGGCAAGCAATATCAAGTGTTAGTTTTTTGCTGATCGTATTGATATCGTTGGTGTACCTACTCCTCGACCACAAACTCTTAAAAAATCCATTTAAAAAAAACCATGTAAAATATGCATATGCACAGAGCGTAGAACACAGTTCTGAGGGTTTGCACCAAGAAAGGCAAGATACCCCAACTTCAGACCTTGGCGCCCTCCAGAATTTGTCGCCCTGGGCCATCGCCACATCACCCCCCCTCCTCCCCCTAACGTTGGCACTGGTTCTGGTCGGGCGGCGAGCTACCCTTACTCGCCGTCCGCAGACCCGCGCTTATGGTGGCCGGATATCGTCTCTTGACGCCTCGCCGTGTGTGCATAAGATACTTTAAGTTGTATGCTACATTTCCTAACCCATGATATAACTTCACTTTACAATAACAACGAAATCCAATAAAATTCCTCCATTAATCACCAGCCTACACCTTCCTCAATTTTATTGTTTTTACGGACGCCTGTCTTAGGATGATTGATTACTTTTATACATTAGTAAGTAATTTATCAACGAACCTATCTATCTATTCATCAAAATTACGAAACATACATACGAAACATACCTACCTACCTATGTTTATGAAAACATTACGTAAAATTACTACAACAACGTGTAGACTAGGAATTGTAATTCAATCAATTGATAATGAGGAAATGTGAATAGAGCCTCATTAGTTAAATCCTCACAGCCATTATTGTATTAGTAGGTAGGTACAAAACCGCCAACGTATCTTGGCGAATCTGAATTAGCCGATTAGCTGCGCAGTAAAAGATCCATTGCCCAGACAAACGGCTAACTTCAGACTCGCCAAGATACGCCGGCCGTACTGTAACTTAAATTTTATTAATCATAATCATGACTAATAAAATTTAAGGGCTCAAAGACAAAACGCCAGAAACGTTATGTGTGCGTTGCGGTCCCTACCGATCAGATGACGTCATATTATTCATCACCCTGCAAAAGCTTAAGATGATATAAGACAACGTGGCCTCGGCCTAGACCAGGAGAAGGACCTTGGGTTATAATCAGTAAGAGTCTAACAATCCCTGTCACCTCACCTTGGGCGGCAGAAGTCATTTTATGATTTTACCCTCACAAAGAGGGGGTTATCTTTCACTGCCTAGATATGGCTGTCTGAAAGGGGTAGTAAATATACTTATTAATATGTGTATTTCTTAAAATTATGTTATCAAATGTTTAGCAATTCACCTACGCCTAACTATATTTTATTGATTATTAATAATAATTCGGCCTCAATCAAAAAAGAGTCTGAAGCTAGCCAACACCTAAATCCAACTGAGATTGCGAGTGTAAGATGAAACTATAAGTACCCCAAAATTCTGAAGCTAGTCATCACTTAAATCCAACCGAAATTGCGAGTCCAAAATGAAACTTAACTCTTGGAGCAGGAGAAGGAACGAGGTGGGTTTTAGTAAGAGTCTGACACTCCCTCTCACCACACCTATTTATAATGGGAGAAGTAAACTGATGATTTTCTCCCTCGAAGTAAAAACACCATTACCCATGTATATACTAAAAACAAAAGATGCGATGTACAAAAACAAAACGTTTTTACCAAAAAAAAAAACAATCTTATGCAATCAATCATTTATATTACACTTACAAATTCCATTCACACTTAATCATGCATACAAACACAGGTGCAAGTTAGTAAGTAATAATAAAAATAGTAGGATAAAATAGACATCTAATTCGTCTCCAGTCACATATAATGACATAACACGTTAAGCTAGACTAACGAAATTAACTATAGGTAAATACCTACTTAGAAAGAATGTATTATGTGTAACAAGCTGATTGTCAACCAACAGAAGTGGTGGTAGGAAATAAGTTTGGAATTTTTTTGTAAGTAAACAGTCGGTAGGAATCTTAACGACGTACGTACGATCAACGGCGACGCACGCTCACTACATTTGTAATAACAGGGTTGTCACGCTTGTAATTATTAGTGGTATTATATTTTGTGTATATAATAAGTGAATGTATCGTGGTAGCCTGGAGGATAAGATCCCCGCTTCTCATACATGAGGGTGTGTCTTCAAAACTTGGCAAAGTGACTTAGACTAATGTGACTTTGTCCTAGTTATACCTATGCACGATTATGAAGGCACTACTGATTAACAGTTAAGGAAAACAACGTGAGGAACCTAGATTTATAATTTACCGACAATCAAACAGGCTAGCGAGTGATTAATACTTACTCAAACCTTCTCCATATGAGAGGAGGCAGGTCTCAATAATATTCCAATTCTATCTTTGACATACATAAAGAATTTACGGAAAACTGAGCAAAAATCGGGTAAAAAAAAACTGGACAGCTGATAAAATATTCAAAACTCGCGAACGGTCATTAGAAAAATCTTACCGTATCCAAAATCATCACAGAAATTATAATAATATCGTCTCGCAGTTACGAATCCTATAACACTTGAATTTCTTTATTCGCAGTAATACTCAGAATAACTCCTAAACCAAAACAAATCTGAACATGAAATTGACAGCCCTACGCTTACTTTCTACATGACCGGCGCGCGCGCAGTGACGTAAGGACAGATAATCGCGGATCGAAGCTGCCCGCCTAATTACTTCAGTACGGCTGAATGTAGGCGAGACTGCGACTTGATTAGATATGGCTTCATACATTATGACATAACTTTTGATCAACCGTGTTTACACTGAGAAGAATTTTAGAGCATTTGTTTAAGTAAAAATAAATATTTCTTCTGGCTGCTTTCTGTTTCATAGTAGTTTTTTATTTTATTATAGGTATATTAAGTGTGGGAGAGTTATTTTTGGCATGAATCAGCGAAAATGCATTACCTACTGCGAATATATGTATACTCCGGTCAAGCCGATACCACTGCCTTATTGAAAACCGGCGTGAAACAACTACAGCGTTGTGTTTCGTCGAGTGCGTGATGTTACCGGAGGTTCAATCCTTCTTCCCCGATCCCTAAATCTCCGAAATATTTATCTACAAAACGTCGGCAACGTACTTCTCACTCCTCTGGTGTTGGTCAGGTCAGGTCCATCAGGTAGGTAATCGGTCAGCTCATAGCTTACTGCTCATTGCCAGATTTTCTCACACATGTCAAGAATCTGATCAGGATTAGAGTTTTTATTCTTTGTTTTCGAGAGAAACGAGTGATAAAACGTACGCGATCTTCAAGATATGGAAATATTGATACACGCAGACTTTGGTCAAATTATTTACGATCTCAAATTTTGACATTTCAAGTCATTTTTGAAAATGATTAGAATCTGACGTTTCGTATTTCAAGTCCTTGCGTCTGCGCAGCTTTCTAAGACAATAATTATATAATAAGCTACGTTTAGTTACACCATCGTCACATAAAAAAAACTATAAAAGAAAAATCTGTCTACTCTATAACATTAAAAACTCTATACTTAATAGGGACATTCCTTATAATAGTTAAACTTAACTAAATAGTTCCACTTACTTTCGCTCATGGCGTTACTTACGTCATACGTTTAAAACTATTACCACTCGTATGAACAATTTTTATTTTGTTAGTGAATGTGATGTGAATGTTTTGAACGCGGAAACTGCTGGCCGAATTTTGATGTATCTCGACAAAGTGATAGTTCAAATATCGAGGTCAAAGTTTTGAGGCAATTCTTAATTCAAATATGGTGTTGTTCTGTCATCTTTTATTAGTCAATTGGTCTTAAACTTGGTCAAAAAATATTACCTATTAATATATAAAATAGTTTGATTGATTGGTTTTAGAATGTATAGATAGATACATATATCTAGATATATAGATAATAAAAATATAAGTTTGTACGTTTTTCGTCAGTTAATACAATCACATACAGAATTCATAGAATTGAGTAGTGTAATTGGTTTTGTAACGCACTGTTTAAATAAATAAATAAATAGGTAATATATAAATAGAAAAGGGTCTAGACTAGATGTGAAGAACCTAATTTTTAGCAGAGGTTTGGGCAAGGAGCGAGATGGAGAGAGGCACTCGCAACAAG